GTGGGCTCTCTCTCTCGCTCTCACTCTCGCTCTCTCTCATGTGTTCTTTGTCTCCAGCGCGTTCACTGTGCTTTAACACCTGAGCCATCTGCCCCAGACCCCGTCCTCCAGCTCTGCCCCGCGCATGCGTGGTTCCAGGAACCATAAGAAGCAGCTGTAAGGTTCTCCAATGCCTGCGGAGGCACCAGCTCTGCCCGGGGGAACCAGACCCTGGAGATACGCTTTGCTCCGCCACCGGCCCGCGGTGTAGCCCTCCTCTGAGTGTCCCCTCTCGTGTCTACAACACGCAGGGTTTGACACAGTGACTGCTCCTGCGGCTCTCACGGGGAGCTGAGCCTGGGAGAAGCAGGCAGGTGAGCTCTCGGCGTGCCTGAGCCCTGTGGAACGGGCCCTGGGCGCCCAGCTCCTCCGCAGTTGTATACCAAGGTCTCCCCGCTTGTGTCCTCTGAGCAGTTTTTTCCAGAGGGGAGCCGACAGGAACAGCACCCCACGTCTTCCTGGACAAGCCGGTGAAGACAGCCGCAGGCTTGGTCTCTGACCTAACCCCACCCCATCCCACCCCCGCAGAGGGCTCTCAGATTTCATCTCTATCTCATCCCTGCCCCCCCACCCCCACGTCCTCTGGGGCTTGGATTCCTTTGTTTTTTTGTTTGTTTGTTTGTTTGTTTTTTGACAGGCAGAGTGGACAGTGAGAGAGAGAGACAGAGAGAAAGGTCTTCCTTTGCCATTGGTTCACCCTCCAATGGCTGCTGCGGGCGGCACACCGCGCTGATCTGATGGCAGGAGCCAGGTGCTTCTCCTGGTCTCCCATGGGGTGCAGGACCCAAGCACTTGGGCCATCCTCCACTGCACTCCCGGGCCACAGCAGAGAGCTGGCCTGGAAGGGGGGCAACTGGGACAGAATCCGGCGCCCCGACTGGGACTAGAACCCAGTGTGCCGGCGCCGCAAGGCGGAGGATTAGCCTAGTGAGCCACGGCGCTGGCTGGATTCCTTTGTTTTAAGATGTATTTCGTTGATTTGAAAGGCAGAGTTCCAGAGACAGAGACAGAGCTAGACAGAAACCTGCTGGTTCACTCCCCAAACGGCCGCAAAAGCCGGGGCTGGGTCAGGCTGAAGCCAGGAGCCTGGAGCTCCATCCGGGGCTCCCATGTGGGTGGCAGGGGCCCAGGTACTGCTTTCCCAGACACATTAGCAGAGAGCTGGATCGGAAGTGGAGCAGCCAGGGCTCAAACCAGCGCTTCCAGGGGGATGCCGGTGTCACAGGCAGCGGCTTAACCACTGCACCATAAAGGCCAGCCCTGTGGGGCTTGAAATCTTGTTCCAGTATCGTACAAGGAAGCGGACGTCCACATACACACTTTTTATTTTGCATAAAATAAAGGGTCACGTACCCCATCCATCCTGTAGAGCCTCATCCCCCAGGGAGAGCCCCCACCCCGCCAGCCCCTGAGTCCCTGTAAGGCCTCGGCAGTGGGCACCGGGACTGACAAGGAGCAGAGGGCTCTTACAAGCTCAGGGAGCGAGGTCAAGTTTGAGGACAGATCTGCTCACTTTGTTGTACTCCTTAAGACTTCGACAGAGCGCTGTCAAGACTGCTCAAGCCCAGGGTGCAGTTCCTGTGCTGTTCTTTGGCATCCAAACTGTCAGGGTGAGGGCATTCCACACACAACATGGGTACTGCTGCACCCACGTGGGCTGGACAGACAGCAGGAGCCCTGGGAGGCCGCAGGAAGCCACGCGCTGGGGGGTTGCTTCAGGATGAACACCTGCTCTCTTCCACAGCCCCAGTCAGGGTCCCCAGCTCCTGAATGCCAAGGTCAGGATCCAGGGGTAGACTTCCAGGATGGCACCTGCTAAGCCCTGCTAACAGTCCAGGGTCATCAAGAAAATAGTGGGGGAGAGTGGATCCTCACTTGTGGTGGGAGACTCGGGGGTCAAGGTCATCTGGGATGATGGCACATCAGCAATTACCTGCAACCAGAAACAGGCCCCGCGCTCTGCTCGTCACCCCCAAACATTGCCTCCCGGTCGAAGGCACCTCCCCCAGCCAGCCGCCTGCACACTGTCATTCAGGCTGGTAGGCGTGGGCACCTCGCAATCGCAGGCACCGCTTCCCCCCACTTCCTCTCCTGCCTCCTGGGGTGGCTACTCTTCCTGCAGGAGGGGCTCTCGGTCTCCTTCCTGTACCCGCTCGTCCTCTTCCTTCTCCATGCAGCCCACGGTGGCAGCCAGCCCAGCACCCACGCCGCCCCCGACCACGGCCGCCCCCGTGGCACCCACAGCAGCTCCGGCCGCCACCATCCCAGCCTCGGCCGCCAGCGCCGCTGCTGCCATGCCCGCCCCCACCACGCCCCCCGCCAGACCCATGAGCCCCGCCCCCACGGCGCCGCCCACGGCTGCCAGGTGGCCGCAGAAGCGCATGGTGTAGGAGTCCATGAAGGCCTTGGCCATGGCCTGCAGCTCGGCCTCCAGGGCTTCCAAGGTCTGCTCCCTGCCCTTGCACAGCAGGGCCACGCCGTGCCGCGCCAGGACCGCGTCCTTTTGGGTGGAGAGGAGGTTCCGCATGGTGTCGGGCAGCACGCGGAGCGCCGAGAAGATGCGCTTGGTGGCCAAGTCCTGGGACAGGGAGGAGACAGGAGGCTGCGCTCACCGGGAGACCCCGGGCGTCGCCTTCCCCGCCGTGTGCAGCCTCTTGGGGCTCACCTGCTGCCTCACGTACTCCTCAAACTCCTTCTTGGCAACCTCCACTTTCCTCAGGTCATGCAGCTGCGCCGCCATCTGTCCACGGGAGAGCCCAGGCTGCCTCCTGCCTCCCCTCCCCCGCCCCCCAACCCCGACCCCGGCCAGGCTGCCCCTGCTTTCTCACTGCCACTCCCAGGGCACAGGGACCCCCACGGCCAAGGCCTGGGCTCCATCCCCCCCCCCATACACACGCACACGCACGCTCTGCCTCTGCCATTCCCCCGCTCCTCCCCGGGACTCCGTACCTCCTCCGGGGAGCTGAAACCAGGCCCCGTCCTCCCCATCCAGCCCGAGAGGTTCTGCAGAGACACCATGGCGGGGTCAGGGAGAGTTGGGGCCAGCCGAGCGCCTGGGGCTGCAGGGAGCTTTCACACCTTGATCTCCTGGGCCAGCTGCTGTCCCGTGAGCAGGCGTCGGTCCCCTCGGGCCACGGCGCGCCCCTCGCTCCAGTACCCTGGGCAGCGGCTCTTGGCGTGCTGGGGGGCTGCGCTCAGCACGTCCAGCACGTAGGCCCCCAGCAGGCGGCCGCAGTCATCCTCGGCTCCTGTGGGAGAGAGGCCTGGGGCTGAAGCGGCTCCAAAGACAGAGCCGGGAGCCACGCCGTGGTCTCTGCGGGGGAGACGCTCACCGCCTCCGGTGCTGCCGTGGTCTTTGTCCACCCACTGCCTCCCCGCAGCAGGCAGCAGGTAGCAGCGGGCTCGCCGTCCTTGCAGCAACTCCTGGACCTTGGGATATCTGCCAGACAATTTCTGAGACAGATGGGGAGGGCTCTGAGATGGGCATCCGGGACCCCTCCCCACCTCCCCCGCCCCTCCCTCACCCACCAGGCACCTCTGCAGCCTCCCTCTGCAAGGCTCACCTGGAGGACCTCGCCCACGTGCCCCTGCCCCGCCTTGCTGGGGTGAGAGGAGTTGCGCACCAGGAGGTCCAGGTGCTGGAAGAAAAAGGGTTCCATGGCCGCAGCCAGCAGGGGGTCGGGGGTCCGGGCCTGGGCTGACAAGCGCACAGGTTGGGGACCTCACCTGGATTGGCACCATCCCATAATGCTTGCCCATCACCTCCGCCACATGGACGAACATCTAGGGATGGGCCACAGAGCGTGTCAGGGCCTTGGTCCATCCCGTGCCGGCCATAGGAACCCAGCTTCCATTCCACAGCCTCTGGGTTCTCCCACCTCCGCACAAACCAGGCCTCTCCCGCCCCACCCTCCAGGTGCAGACCATTGGCCCTGCGGAAGCATCCTAGAGTCCTCGGCCAGAACCCGAGAGCACCTGGCTCCGCCTACTCCGGATGCTGGGCCTGCTCACCTCCAGGTGGTCCAGGTCTGTGTCTTTCAGCTCCTGGGAGGTGTTGAGGATCTGGGACAAGGAAAACAAGAAGCAAGGGGGTCTGCAGAGGCAGGGGGATTCTGGGAAGATCCTGGCAAGGAGGAACTGTGGTCCTACAAGCCAGGAGAGGCCTGCAGGGCTGGGCTTGCCTCGGGGTTCAGATGGCAGGCCAGGAGGGACGTGGTGACCCTCACAGGCCTCGTGCTGGCTCGGGCACGGTCAGCCACCTTTACAACCACGCCCGCTGCCACTTCTGCCCATGGGGAGACCCCTGGCTACCCAGGCTGTGAGAGTCCTCAGTTGTGGGGGAGGCTGAGCTGGGGCAGGGCACGGACATCCTGGCTCAGAGCCTCACCTGGTAGGAGCTCAGCATCATGGTGAGTGCGCAGAGCTTGATCCTCGTCTCTCTGCTCAGCTCAGGGCTCATGGCGTCCCCAGTGTCCACCAGGAACACAGCCACCTACATGGGCACCGGGGTGGGGGGCCAGCCGGGGCCGGGATGGGGGGGAAGGGGGATCAGGCCCAGCTCTCTCCACCAGGTCCTGCAAAGACTTTCTTCCCCGCTTCTTTATCCATCTCTGCTCGCTCGCTCTCTCTCTCCTCCGCCCCCAGCCCAATCCTTGCTTCCTCTTGCGGAACCTCCACCGCCCTCCCCCGCCCCGCACCTTCTTGCCTTCCTTCCCCAGCAGAAAGGGGTGGCTCCACATCCAAATGCCCCTAGTGAGGCCGTTGCCGCCGCAGCCGAAGCCCGGCAGGGACCCCTCAGCCCCTCGTGGCCAGCTGCCCTCTCTGGACTCCTGCAGGTGCAGAAGGAGAGCGTCAGCTGGTCCCTGTCCGGTCCCCAGAGACCAACAGGGGCCACCGACTCCGCCCCCCGCCCCCACACCAACCTCCTGCCCGTGCCCGCCCTCACCAGGCCGGGCAGGCCCTGGAGCAAGTGGTTGAGGAGCGAAGACTTCCCTGAGTGCTGCTGCCCGAGGACAGCGAGGAGGCAGACGGGGGTGTCCCTGGCCAGGGGGTGCTTCAAGCAGCGGTTGATGGCGCCCATCCTGAGGATGAGGCCTCCGGAGGCGTTGACACGCACCAGGAGCAGCGGTTCTGCCCGCACCGCACAGGTCTCCTGGGGGAGAGTGGGGGAAGAAGAAGCATCCCCGAGTCAGGTGTCTGGCGTGCGTCTGGCCTGGACTCCCAGGGCCGTCCCCTTCCGCTCTGCCCCGCACCTGCAGGACGGGAGGCAGCGCCCGCTGCCGCAGGAGCCGCATCTTCTCCCCCAGGCTGCGGAAGCCCCTCTTCTGCCGGCAGATCTTCCGGCACTCGGGGCAGCAGGGTGGCTCGCAGCCTGGGACGCGGTGCGTGCTGAAGCACCGGGGGCAGAAGTCGTGGCCACAGTCCAGCGAGATGGGCTCCCGCAGCCGCTCCAGGCAGATGGAGCAGGCGGGGAGGTCCCGGGGCGCAGCCGGCCGGGGCCCCAGGCCCAGCTCCAACCTGGGGAACGTCGGGTGGGGGTGGGGGCAGGGGGAGCAACACAGGCTGTTTAGCAGCACAGTGGTGATGAGAGAAGCCCGGGACGGCCCCTGCCTCTGCTCCTCCCAGCCATGCAAGCTGGAGGCCACCTCCTTCCACCGTCTGGGCCCCTGCTTGCCTCGCTGTCCCAACGGAGAGGTCGCGGCTACAGAGCTGCCCGAACCTGTGGTGGCCAGGCAGCAGTGTGCGCCGGGCCCGGCACGCGTGCTCCAGAAACACCACTCCCTGGCCTGCTGCAGCAGGGGCGGGGGTGGGGCACGGGGGGGGAGCTGCCCTCAGCCAGGCTGCCCAGGGGACAGGAGGACAGCGTGGCAGCCTGCTCTGCCACTAGGCAGATGGCCCTGGTTCTCGGAAGATTCCTTCCAGTCTGTGCTCTGAGCTGGCGTCTGCCTCCACACAGCACCACCTGCTCCTTCCTGTCCCTGTTCGCCAGCCTGGCAGATCCAGCCTTGCACTCCCTTCCCCAGAATTCCATCTATCTGTCCATCCGTCCATCCGTCTGGGCTGCAGGGCTGAGCTCCTGGAGTCTGACATTGCCAGCCCACCGGACATTGACCCCAGCCGCAGGGCCCTCCACTCACCAACTGTTGCTGCTGTTTCCCATGAAGCTCTGTTTTCTCTCCTTGATGAGAGGAAGAGAGAGAGAGAGAGAGGAGAGAGGAGAGAGAGAGGAGAGAGGAGAGAGAGAGATCTAGAACACAATGCAGACTTCCATCTTCAGCCTGGATTTCAGAGGTTCCCATCCTTTCCTCCCCCTTCCCCCCCAGCCCCAAACCATCCCCCATCCCAGGACTTGAGACTTGCCCGTTTGCCCAGCCGGTGACAGAAGGAAGTGACTGACAAGGTGGGCCTCGGCATGGGAGGTTTGGGTGGGGAGAGGATCCGGTACGAGCGGGCCGAGGCTAGGCAGCTCCTCCTGGGCAGCAGAGCCGGGTGGTGGCAGGCGGAGGGTGGCGGCCGCTCGCCCCAGCAGCACGGACTCCTTTCTGGGAACCAGGAGAGGAAGGTGCTGGTCGGTCGGTCGGTCGGGAGAGGGCGGATGCCACTGGACTCACCCCAGGGGGAGGAGACAGGGCTGCGGGTACCAGGACTCCGGAGGAGGGAGGGACGGAGCCCGGCTCAGAATCCCTGGCAGAGGCTGGGATGCAAGCGAGCCGAGGTGGTGAGTCGCCATGGAGACGGAGGGAAAGATAAGGACAGGCAGGGGGAGGGGGTTGGAGGGAGAGAGAGAGGAGCCGTGTGGGTGCATGACAAAGACAGAGGGCGCCCTCCGGTGGAGCTACGGGATGGGTGGAGTGCTCCCCGGGGACCAGGGCAGGATGGGCACACAGGGTGGGAAACCTGAGACAGTCACAGAACACCTGTATGCTCAGGGCCCCAGGCTGTCCCCAGGCTACCACCACAGTCCCCTGGCCACCCTTCCTCACCCCCCCTCAACCTGCTCTCCCCAGCACCCAAGCCTCCATATTTCCCAATGGCTCTTTTGCCTTAAAAAAAAAATGGCTCTCGCCCTGTTTCAGGGGGGTGGGTCACCTCTGGACCATCTACCTGCCCCTTGAGTGGGCTCCTCCTCTCCTCCCACCTGCTGCCAAGTGCACAGCCTCTAGAGATTCCCTCAGCAAGGCTGACCCCGCCCCCCACCCGCCTTGCAAACACCTCCCATGGCTCCCTACTACCCACGGATAGAAACTCGAACCACCCAGCCTGCCTTCCTGGGCCTGAACCTTCCTCAGTCGCGTCTCGGCCTTTTGGCTAAGATCCAGTGTAGCATCTGAACCTCTCTCTGCAGCCGCCCTCTCGCCATCCCTTCCCTGTCTGCTCGCCCTCAGCCCGTGTCCCTGCAGCCTCTTCGCTTTGCCCCACCCCAGGTGGATGGGACATGCACTCGGATGGTGTGTGGCTTGGACATTGACTTGCGACGGGTTTAGTAGCCAGGCTAATCTGGGCTCGGTTCTCAGCTGGGGACCCGGGGAACTTTACCTCTCTGAGCTCCAAGGGGCTCACAGGTAACTGCCCGGAGCCACCTGCCAGGCAGGGGAGTTATTTGTAACTGCTAGGAGGTGGAGAGGTACCCTGGGGGTCACCCCCAGCAGGCAAGCACAGCCCTGAAGCACAGGATGGATCCTCTTCCTCAGGTTCAGGTTGTTAGATCAACTGTAACAATGCTGGGCCTTTGGCCTGGTAGTTAAGACCTAGTGGTTAAGACTCCCGCGCCAGGGCCAGTGTTGTGGGGCAGCAGGTTAAGCTGCTACCTGCAAAGCCTGCAACCCGTATAAGTACCAGTTTGTGTCCAGGCTGCTCCTCTTCCAATCCAGCTCCCTGCTAATGCACCTGGGAAAGCACCTGCTCCAGTTCCAATCCAGCTCCCTGCTAATGTGCCTGGGAAAGCAGCAGCAGATGGCCCCAGAGCTTAGGCCCCTGCACCCATGTGGGAGACCTGGATGGAGTTCCAGGCTCTGGGCTTCCGCTGGAACCAGTCCTGCCTGGCTGTTACAGGCATTTGGGAAGTGAACCAGCA